GTATCCTTTCAAGCCCGAGCCTGCATTTTAGCTTCAGCCATTCCTATTCCACACAAGCCTGATAACAGCAAAACCACAAGGCTCGTTTCAGCTCCACAGTCAACGCAAACAACAGCCAGAGCTTGGATTGCAAGGCATCTTCCAAGTTTTAACAGAACCCACTCACCACAAATAACATTAGTAGCTGGCAATGTAATAAATGACTTTCTACTTCAACCAGGTAACAAACTGAGGTTGCACAAAGACATCTCCAGGGGTCCCTTTCAACCTCAACCATTCTGTGATTCCACACACAGAAACATCAGCTCCCTGTATGCTCAGAACTCCAGAGACTGAACTGTAATGAGCATTAGCTTTTTAATTACTGAGCTCTTATCTCCACTGTATATATTTAATGGCTAATCACGCACTGCTTTGCATCTCTGGAGGCCTAAACATGAAATGTAGGTTTCCCCCAGCACTCTGAGTGCTTACAAGACTTAGAAACAATTCCTACTTGCAATCTTCTTACACGAGCAGGGAAATAAAGTGAAGCTGCCTTGCACAACTACACTTCCCCAGCTTTCTCTTAGTTTCCCAGTACTTTAACACATCCTTGAAGAAACAAAATGAGGTAGTTTCTTGGCAGTGCTTTTCTGTGTGCCTGTGGGTTCTTCTGTGTGTTTTAGTCCTGCTTTTTTTTTTTTTTCCCCCCACCTGATCTACTGAGAAAAGCATATTTTCAACAGGGTATTCCACAGCTTCCAGCACTATTATAATCCTTTACATTTGGAAGCTGTGCTCAGAGAAGAACCATCTCCAGAGATGCTCCTGTTATCCAGTAGCACTCGCATCATTTTGATTCCATCGCTGAAGTTTCCTGCCAGAATGAAACAGCCGCTCCCTCCCAAACAATGCTGTTACTTTCAGGCTGTTTATTGAACTCTGATCCGATTTTGCCAATGCAGCGTTCATGTTTCCGGTCTCTGGAAAGCACTGTGCCTAATAAGAAAGTTTACAGGAAGAAAAAAAAAACTTCAAAGCCACATGTTTGCAATTACGAAGCTGGGAATAGGAGGTTTTCTTTCCTTCCTACGCAGGACAGCAGGGAGCGTTATAGAATAAATCAAGCTAAACTAGTCCTGAAAATTAAGTATGGTCCTCTAGAAACGGTCTGAACTCAGTTTTCCACATAAACAGCTCATCTGTTTATCAGAAGCAGCAAACAGACTGCATGTGCTTAGAGCAGGCGGGTGTGTGACACGGCACCAAGAGCAGGCATTGGAGATAACGCCGCTGCTCTCCACGGACTGACAGAAGTACACCTTCAGGACAGTAACATGTAGCTGCTTTAATAGGAGGTGAGTTCATTTGATACGAGATTTTAAAGTATTCGTATAAGCAAAAAATCAGAAAAAATGCCTGAAGTGTTACATAAGAACAACGCATTTGTATTAAAAGGCCCAACCTCTTATCTTACTAAAACATCTGGAGGAGATTGCTACAGGACTCCATTTTATGGTTGCTATCAAATTCCTCCAGGGGTGCACAGCACGAGAGCAGCATATCCACTGAATGCAGGCTGGTGCCAAGGCCCCAGCCACACCAACCTACGGCTGGACTGCATACCCTACCTGCCTCCTAAGAAACAAGACGTTAAAGTTCCCCCTATCTGTCCCACCATAACTTACAAGCAGATCATTAAATTGGTTTAGAAACATTTATCACCAGCTAGCGTCTGAAAGATTGAAATTAATGATTATTATAAATAAATGGCTTACTAATGAAGATGTCCAAACAACCTGACGTGCCTTAACCCATTTATGCATTTGTTTTTTAAGGAAAAGTTTCTCAACAGAAAGATTAGTTTTATTTTCACTGTCTGAATTGTTATTAGATGTCAACACAGCTAAATAATAAAATATATTTTGATTTAAAGCATCAGGCAAGGCAAACCACCTAAGAATTCACGTTAAGATCCTATTTCAGCTCAGACAGCTAACAGAACAGACAGTCAGCACCTTTTCTCAGCTGGCATCTCAGAGGAAACCAAAAGAAACATTTTCAAAGGATTTGGTAGGCTTATAACAAAACACAGCAATCAAGCCCCTCAGTGGCACCCAGCTATCCAGAATTCAACTCTGTTTTTTCTTCTAATAGCCTGCAGACACACGAGACCAGAGGACACTCTGTCACCACACCAAGGTCTTCCCAAGTCTATAAGCACTGTGGTATATCTTTAGATTTAGAGAGGAGGAAAAGGGGTTGCACCCATGAGCTAAGAATAAACAGCAGCTCAGAAACACAGGAAAAAACTGAGTGCTACCAGGCCTGGCGAAACAGAAAGCAGAACCACGTCCCTCTGAGATCCTGGGTTTCTCAATATCCTGCTACCAGGAAGCAAAAGCGTGGAATGCAGTCAGGTACATTTGATTCATAACAACATGAACAACTCCTTACGAGCAAAGGCTTACACTTCTACTTGACACAGCAGATTGATCAACTTCCAGAAGTTTCACAGCGTTCCACAACAGGTTACATGTTCACTACAACAAAGGTCTTTGTTATTTTATATGGACTTCGTATGAATTTTAGAGTGAAATCAGTGCCAGATCATCTTCCCTATTCTTTTTTGGAAAAATAATAATACCCCTTCTTCTAGAGTTTTGCTGCATTTCTTACACCCTGCCCCACTTTCTCCAGTCATTCTATCATTTACCAGAACATTATTGCTGACAGTGGGGGAAAAAAAAAAAAAAAAAAAAGCAAAAAAGCCAGGCATCTGTCAATACTCATGAGAGACCATGAACTCACTAAACTTCAATCCCCACTATTTCTGCTTCTCTGAATCAGTTTGTGTGCATGCCACGGCATAAGAACTCAGTTTTTCATTTTTACCATCAGGAAAAGTGTGAAGGTGCACATAGTTTGGTTACAGCTCTGGGAGAACAGAAAAGCTGTGATGCAACCTGTTTACATCATCCTCACATTTTCCCTGCCCACGGGGGTAAGAGGAAGGAAAGATGAGGAAAGAAACTGAATAGAAGGGAACTTTGCTCTGTGCCTTAACTCGTGGGTACTGTTCTCACATTTTTACTTTTTTTCTTCCCCACTTCAGTTCAAAGCAGTCTTTAATCCCTCAGCTTCACCACTGCAGCTGTGCTGAGAGCTGAGGGCAAAGGACAGCCGAAGCTGCTCAACGTTCACACAGCACCTGCCTCTCAAAGGCTACACTCCACTCGAAGGCACATCTCTTATCGCTTTATTCCCCACACGCCCCGAATTCCACCTTCCTCCAGCTCCTCCCGGCCAAGGACACGCTCAGCACCGACTGAAAGCCGCTTCTAAGCCCCCAAGGAGGGGAAGAGGAACGCTAACAGCTCAGCTGCCACGGCCTTCAGTCTCGCTGCACTTTGTTTTCCTCACTACGGTGAGGGACGTCGAATGCTAGGCAACACCGGGAGGGCTGAATCACCTCGGGAAGCCCACGTTGCTTCTCCCACGCGACACGCACACACGGGACAGCCGGCGCCCACACCGCGACCCACGCGACACCGCCCGCCCCAACCGCGCAGGGCGCCCCCCGCGCAGGGCGCATGCGCGCTGCCCACCCTTCGCCCACCGCCGGGCAACGGCCGGAGCCCCGCGCACGCGCGCTGCGCTCAACCGGAACCATCGCCGCCGCCGCCGCCGCCGCTACCGCCCCCCCGGCGCCCACCCGGCCGCCCCCCGCGCCAGCTGCTCACCATGTACCAGGTTCCTAAAATGATGGTGCCGGTCCGCACATGGCAGCAACCACAACAACGAGTACTGTAAAAACGGTCGCGGCTCCGCTTGAACGTCATGCTGGCAGCTCGCTCCGCCACACGCCCTCCTCCGGACTCGCCACTCGCTCTCTCCCAGCACTTCCCCTCAGCTGAGGGCCGTAAAACCCCCGCTCACGCGTCACCGCCTCTCCAGCCAATCGCGTGTCGACAGCGGGGGCGCTGAGGGGTGTGCCCGGGGGAGGGCCTACGCGTCGCCGCGGCAACAGCGGATTGGCGGCGCCGCGGACCAATCGCAGCGCCCCGAGTGCAACGCCCTGCCGTTCACCTGCGCGGCGGCGGGGTGGAGCTCACCTGAGGCGACGCGCGGTAGAGGCTGTCCGACGTCCGCCATACTGGGGAGGAGTCGCCCGCCCCCTCTCACCTCGGCCCGGAGGCAGCGTGGCATGGCGGCGGGCGTCGTGTTGTGCGGGGCTGGTGCCTGGGGTGCTTCCTCCTGAGGGCCAGTGGGGGCGGCCGTAAAACATTACGAAACCAATTTTGCAGACAGCCCTTTGTTACAGCCCTTTGAAAGGACAGCGAAGTCACTTTAGTGGACCTTGGAGCACCCAAATCCCACAGATTCCACTGAAATTCAGTTAGTACTTTGCGATTCGCTTAAACCTTTGGCTGTTCTTCCAGAGAAAATCCTCGTTATTAATGTCGTGCGTTACACGGTGAGAGGACGCGCGTGCAAAGCGCGAACAGAAGAGGTTCACACATGCTTAAATTCTGTATGAGTTCCACGTCCATGTACCTGTGTGGTGACAACACTGCTAGTCCCTGAAAGCTGCAGAAGAAGTCCACTGAAAGCTGCAGGTGCTATTAAGCATTGATTAGAAGTAATGTATATAGATCCTGAGTGCTGCTTTTGTATGTGTGAGAGATAAGGAGTGCTCCTGTTCCCGTAAGAGGAGCACCCGTAACCTTCCCCCGACCCGAGCACAGCCCTGCGTTTGCAGACCTGCTGTGTTGATACAGAAACGTGCATGGTTTATTTTAACCTTACTGCAGCTGCAAGTGTTTCCTTCTTGGCTGTATACAACTGTTTGGAGACACTCATAGAACTTAAATATTTGCTGTGTGTATATACACCAAGAGGTACCTTATCTGTCAGTATGGTGGTTCACTCTGAACAATGAGAAGGTAACAAGGGTGACTAGTTCTCCCGTTGATACATTCCAGATCCTACAATTAACACATTTTATTGTTTGAGCTACTTAGTCTATTTTTAAACATGAACTGTTGCTGAGTTGTTTGAAATGATTTACTTAAAGGCTTTAAAACTGACCTTTTTTATTTTAAATCCCCCATGTTCCATAATCGACGTTTTTCTTCCTTAGGGCATATTTCATTTTTGAATAAACATGTTGTAAGTGCTGCTAAGACTGCTGTAATGATCCTGTTATAAACTATTGTTTGTTTCTTCAGTGCTCCTAATGTTCCCTGTTCACAGATGCTTAATTATCAACAGACTAATTTAATGTAGCTAAACCGGACTGATTTTAATCAATATAAATGTAAGTGTAAATAAATATAAAAAGAATGTGCATTTTTTGGAATCAGTCACCTAAAATATCTGTCTTCTCACAGATGGCATGTTGGGAAGCCTGAGCCAACTGTTTCTGCAGCATTCACAACTGAACTGATTCCATCGTTCCTGCAGAGCAAAGAGGCTCTCCCTCCTGTAGGTCTCTCCATGTGCAAGAGAGGAATTCAGAGGAGTAGAGTGGGTCAGAAGAGTTTCTTGCTTGAGTTAGGTCGTCCACTTAGAAGCACCTAGATCCCACTCACAATTTAAAGAAATGTGGTTTGTGAGGGCAAGTTCTTGAATGAAGATCTTCCACAGCTAGAAACTTTGCTTTTGCTAGTCTTGCTGGCAGCTCTCATGTCAGGCTCAGATCTTCAGGGCTATTTTCATGAGATGAAAGAAATCTTAATTAAGTGTTCGTATCTTTGTTAGCCAGACTCGGAATGAGAACTGATGCATTTCCCATGAGCTTCACTGCTTGTTATACCCTGCAGACAACAAAGATACTGAGAAGAATAATGTGAATGTCATTTAACATCACAAAGCAGTTTTCTACAACTGGATAGGTTGATGTGGAACTATTGAGTAGGGAAAAAAAAAAATCTCTACTGTCTCTTTCCCTCATAAAAAAAAAAAAGAAAGAAAAAAAGAAAGAAAGAAAGAGAGAAAAGGAAAAAAAAGAAATAAAAGAGCATTTAGAGAATGATTGCAGTGTTTCCTGTAAAATGGAGAAGAGAGCATAGTTCAATAACTTCAGCCCTACTCCCTGCGAAAGATACCAGTTCCTCCATGCCACTGGCACACCTCAGGGAAGACACTTCCTTCTCTTTGAGCATTAGTTCTCCTCTTTTGCTAGTTCAGAGAAGATTTGTGAGGCTAAATATAGTAATAATTCTGAAGGACTCAACTCGGCTTGCAGTCATGACAGCCAGAGCAAACTACCAAGAGAGATAGAATGAACTGTTCTTCCCAAATAGCAAAAAGACCTTGGCAGCCTGGGAGCAGATCGTCCACTTCTTACAACAGTAAGAGTAGAAGGTCCTAGACATACCAACTAGTGATAAGCAGCTGCAAAAGGATTCCAGATCCCTTACAAGCACAGCGCTTAACTCTTCCATCCATACATGCTGAGAGGGAAGGAGTTTTGTGGTGTTCCTTATTACCCAGGCTGGTGAAGTGTTTCAAAATCTACGTCTAGACAGAAAATTTTAATTCTGTCTTGAGAGTGCATGTCAGTGTTTTACCAAACATAAAGTATTATTTTTGAATTATCATATTCATATAGTTCTGTTTGAATATAATCATACTCAAAAATAACATAATAGCAGAATAGCTAGGGTCATGTAAATAAGATAGATACCAGGTTGCATTCTCCTTCCTGCTCCTCCATGATTCATTTTCTTAAAAAAAAACAAGAGTCCAATGCCTGTAAGATGCCAAACAGTACAGCATGAAGGCTGTTCTATGCAGATTTTTGAGATTCCATTTTGTTCCATCTTTTGTTCCCTTCTCAATCTATCCGTGGCTAAAATATGTATAGAGTTATACTGTAGCCATTAATTCTTGACTGCATGCACTGAGTTATTATTAGGTTGCATATGAAAAATGAGGTGCTGTTCTCCTTCAGCATTTTCTGTGCATGTTTGAATAAGGGAAAAGCTGCACACCGTGGCCTGATAATCTTGTGTAGTCCATGAGCATGGTTCATACTGCTTTATAATGAAAGCGCTGTGCTGTTTGGGGCTGGGGAAACTGAGGAACAGTGAAATCAAGTGATGTCACCAATACCACAAAGGCTGGTGAAAGTGATAGGAGCAATTCTCCTGTCCTGTGGATGTGAAAATACCTGGGCCGAGAGCACGGATTGGATTGATGATAAGAGGGGATTGGAGTAAAAGCAAAGCGTTAACATGAGGAAGCAAACAAACATACAAAAAAAACCCACTAAAATATGCTAGGTGGGAGAAAAGCTTTCCTGTTCGTGACTCACAGTGAAGTCCTAGATATCCTGAACTACCAAATCTTACCACCCTTCTTCTCCAAAATGGATCCTGCTAGAAGAAAATAGACGAATCCAAGCATTCAGTGATTTCTTGTGTAAGAGAGAAGAATGTATCACAATGAGTTTTGTGGTTACTGGATTTTACTTTATTGAATTAAACACCATCAATTTGGATCTCTAAAGTAACGTTCCAATCATCTCTCCTTTTTGTTTCAGTTGATTGCTGTTAACAATATGAATTATCTGTTACTACAGATACATTCCAAACCTTTTAACTTGTAACAGATGGTTCAGAAAGTCAGGGCTAGAAAAGCAGCTAAAACATGACACCATGATGTAACACTTTTGTTAACACAAGACTGTTTCTGGGTTACTTGTACTCTTATGCTTTCTTAATATCAATAACTGAAAAAAAGTTCCCATATTCATTTGTGGAATCAAAGTTTGCTAACCCAGAAAAGCTATAGTTCATTTAAATCAGCCTTCATACAGCTGAGGAGAAATAAAAACGTCTGAAAATAACCTACAGCATTTTCCTCAATCTAGGCTGATACTTGCAAGTTCAGATATCTCAGTGGTTTCACATGTCAAGAAACGAGCACTGGCTCCCTCTGCAAACGGGGCACATCCTTTACCTACTAGCAGTCCCCTTCTCCCAGCCCTGAGCCCAGCCATGCCTCTCTCTGAGTGCTGGAAGGACGGAGAGGTGCCTAGAAATCTGAATGCTGTCTGCTCACGAAAGGAGGAAGCTTTACCTGGTGATTTGTTGTTTTTTTAATATTGCCTCTCTGAATCGATTTGCAGTTTGGGACTCTGGGAAAGAGTTTCTGAAGGAGTAGCGTGGCAGGCAGCTAATGCACTCAGAAGTGCCCGATGAAGCTCTCTGTGTCTCTGTGGCTTACAGTGCCAAAGGACAGTAGTGCACGTGTGCAGAAATCAGAGTTTGATGTAAGTTCATGAAGTTTTAGTAGCTTTTTAATGGGACAATCCAAGGGTCAGTTACTGTCACAGTGACATTTTCCTGAGGAGACACGGGGAGTTTATTTCGGAGCTCAATGGCACTGCAGTGACCTTCAGCAGGGGAGGACGCTTCCAACACAGATAGGAACATCTGCAGAGCAGAACATCAGGAGTGGCACATGCTGAAAAGTTCTATTTACCTTGAAAAGACCTCTGAGTCCAAGTCTGAGTGTGATAGTCTGAGTACTACCACAGAAGGACAAGACTTCCCATATCTGATCTTTGTATACCGTAACTTAGAAAGGCCCCTCTCCTCACAAAGAGTTTTTTTGGTATTATACAGCAGGCTTTTGTTGTTAGCATAGCAAATAAATTATTTTCTGCCAAGGAATTAACATGTCTACCTGATACTCAGCTCATGCAGATGTGTCAGCTGTGCTTCTGATATGCAGATTGGGTGGTGGGCGGAACCTTGATAATTATAGATAACTACAATTATCAATTACAGACAATTATGGCACAGCGGTTGCCCCACTTAACCCTGACAGTGTTACGCCATGGTTTGAGTGTAAAGCAGAGCTTTAGAATCTGTGTCTGCAGCCTGCCTGCGAGTAAACACAGCTTTGTAGGTCAGAAGTTCATCACATCAACCACAGCTTCATGCTTGAGATACCGTCTCATGGCCTCATCATTAGGGATATAGCCATCTTCATCTCATCTTCAAAAGGCTTCCCACAAGAAAGAGTATCATTGCAAAAATAGAGCAGACCGAGTTTAAGGGAAAGTTGAAACTTAAAGCAGCGTGTTTCATCATTTGCAGCTGCTGCCATAACAGTTAATTGTATGCTCCTAACCAGATTGTAGATGTTCTCCCTGCCACACATCACCACTTCCCACGCTGCGGCTGCCCCAGAGGCCACATTCCTGGTTGCTGGGCCACCTGCAGGTGCAGGGAGAGCACCTGGCTGTTAGTGCAGCTTGTGCCACTCAAGCAACAGATAAATCACTCAGGGAGCAGGCAAAGGGAGCCAGCTGGTTCTGGCCTGTGAACCAGGGTACCATTGTAGTCCACCCAGCAATTAGACTACACTAGGTTAATGAAGGACCAAAGAGGCTACTCTAGATTTACATCTCTAGGAGAGAGGTTATCTGGAGGATATAAAAACATGCAGCTACAGTACAACCAATGCTAGAACTTGTTAGAGGGATGTTTAAGATCAGACAGAGCCTACAAGGAGGAGAGTATCAACCTCATTTGTCTAATGCCCCAAGAGCCAGAAGCAGCATAGCAGGCAGATGATTTGAGCAGGGTGATAATGCTCACAGGAGAGAAGGCAAGAGCTATCTAAAAGCATAAAACCAGCAGTAGCCTGAGCACACAGTGATGAAAGGAAAGGGAATTTTGTAAGGGACTCTGAGATCTGCTTTTCAAAGGTGCTGGCCATCTGCAAAGGCCATTTGTTACACTGAGCGATGGTTTCACAGCCCTTGAGGATGAGGAAGTGAAAGAATGGAAGTTAGCAGCAGCTGCTGAGAGTGTTTTGTGCTTTGTTTTGTTTAAAATTTGGCCTTCTTACTGAGGAACCAGGCTCTCAGCACACTTTCTTCAAAACTCTGGGCCAGCCCTGGGAACCCCTGAAGCAGCAGTGCTGGAGGTTGTGGCACAGAAATGCTGCAGCCACATTAACCCAACATAGTACTTCCTACTACTTGCAGCAGTCATACTGATACAGCAGATGGATTGCAAAAACTGTTCCAACTAAATTTATCCAGAATTCAACTGTGCAAGTATTTAGGAAAGCTTATCATCGACTGTAGCTAGTTGTGTTTTCTTTGCTGTGCCACTGTCTGTTAGAATTAAATAATGTAGTATTAAATAATGTTCTGATAGAAACTACTGAGCGCTTCTTTATTACAGCAGTGGTTTCCCATCTGTGAAACAGCGGAACCAGAAGAAAAATAGAGTTCTGCCAATACCTCTGCTGTCAGTAAGAGCAGTACCAATGAAAAACAAGGCAATATAACTTGCTGCTTCTTGCCATCAGAATCGCAGTCATCTCATCAGCATTACGGGGCTTGACTGTTCTTTTATTCCATCAAGAGGAGAAAGTTAGACATATTTCTAAACATTAACAGGGTTAAGATGAAGTGTATCTTTTAAGAAACATTCACTATACCTCCTTAGAAGCTTGAAAATGAAATTCTTTTAGCAAAAGAGCACTTGCTCTTATACACACACAAACTAATTGAGTAGAATTGCCCACGAGCGCTGTGGCCTTTGGGTAAAAGTTTTGATTTTTTTATTATAAAAACAACAAACACGAGAAATAGTTGAAATACTACAGCATGTTGAAAAGAAAACACAGTTACAGTGGTATCAAAGAGAAAAAAAAAAAAAAAAAAAGAAGTCTGGAATCTACCAATATTGTAAGTGTCTGTCTTTTTTTTTCTTTCTGATGACACAGTTATCCTCAGTGCTATGCAGAGACCTTGGGCAACATCCTGGCTTCACTTAGGTCAACGAAT